GGCAGTCACAGGATAGTGTTTCCAACTGCTTGCTCATGAATAACAAGGTGATTTTCTGCCATCTAGCTATGCATCTGTGCAATGCAATGGAACGAAATTCATGGTGCACCATGTCTGGCTTTGAATGTTTTCCTTTTCCAGTTGGCAGCTGCAAATGAGTTCTCCAAAATTGTCATTTCTGTGTGCTGCAGCAGCCAAAAAAACCCAACAAAATGTTGCAAACCCTAAGGAGAGCATTGAGGGCAAGGCAGGGGGTATAAGTTTGCTGTGACATACAACCCTGGTTCTTCCACATCTTTTGTAGTGTGTGTAGTGCTGGTCACCATATCTCAGGAAGGGTGTACTGCAAGCACAAGGTCCAGAGACTGCACAAAGGGCTGGGACCTTCTGGAAGCTGCTGCCTCGGGGAGAGCTGCGGGGGCTGATGCTGTCAACTAGTTCAAAGAGAAACGAGGCAAAAGTGTGAGCAATGTGTCTAAAAGCAGATGCTAAAGGGAACATGCTTAACGCAAGAAGTCTAGATGCTGGGAGGCTGGAGGCCAGCAGATGTGGCCTGGTTTGCATGTTGACCCTGTCTCCTGTGCCACTTATGGGGTGGGTTGGATCAAACACTTCTCAGACCCAACAGGAAATATTGTGTAACTTACCTTTAGCTCCTACTTAGGACTTAAAGTAAGAGTTAAAGGTAAGTTACACAATGATCTCTTGGTCAAATACTTGGTCAAATTGGGCATCCCCCGATCCCAAACTTGCTTCCGTGTCTCTGCTTCACAAGGACCCTTAAAAATGGGTCCGTGAGGGATGTCAGCAGGGCTTGCAGTCTAAGTCTCTCCAGGCTGTGATGCCTGCAAAGCTCTTGCACCCTCCCACCACTGACGGCATGAACACACAAACCCCTTTTCACTTGCAGTGAGGGTTGGGTTTCAAAATGCAGCTGCTGGGATAGCAATGCTGAAAGTGGAGCAAGGTTTGGTGTGTCCCCCCCCCCCCCTGGGTGCCCCCCCCCCCCCGTACTGTCTAACTAGCCAAAAATGATTTGTTTACCCTGGACGTCAGTGATTTCATGAGCATCATGCATTTCATATCTTGCAGGACTTCACAACCCAGCCCATCATATGCAAGCCTACAGAAGTGCAATCTCACTCTGTTCTTTTGGCTTCACAGTTATCGCATTGTGCTTACGATGGAGCTGTTGGACTATCCAGGCTCATGTTTCCAGGTTAAAGGGTACTGGTAGCTGTGCAAGCAAATCATGGGGGCAGGACATCGTGCCTCCATGCTGCGTCACGCCAAGGGCTACACCTTAATTAACTGGGGAGGTGGGGTGGGGTGGGTAACAAACCTTCCTGCAGCCCCTAAGATGATGTTCAGACTACAGGGAGCTGGAGGTGGGCAGAGAAGCCTTCAGGGCTCCTCTTCTTGGCATAAGCAATGAATTGAAAAGATGGGGGAAGCTCTCTTTAGGAAAGGCTTAAACTTTGCAGCAACAAAAGGCTGAAAATTAATGGTCATCTTCCACCATAAAGCACTAAGGATTTTATATAGGGGCCAGGGTGTATCCATCTGAGCAACGTGGACTGCGTGGGGCCAGAAACTGCCCTCTCCAAGTGCCCGGCTCAGCCCTGGGGTGCAGGCTCCTGCCACAGTGGGGGAGATGCCAGTGCTGTGGGCACAGGCAACCCTTCCCCGGGCCATGTTCACTGCTGGGAGCAGCATGGAACGTCCTTTCAGGACTGCTTTTTTGCTGAGACTCTTTATATTTGGTTCAGCTTGCCTTGCACAGCCGTGGGAGCCTGTGGCCCTGGGGAGCTGGCAGCCCAGCATGGACAGAATGGGATGTAGCCGTTTGCCACCTCATGGTCATAAAGAGGGGTGGTGTGCCCCATGGGGTTGTCTCAGAAATGTCGATGCCTGCTGTTCATTGTGACTACTGTAGTGGGGGCTGCAGGCTGGATTTGAGTGGAGACAGCCCAGGGTGGGGGGGAGGGTGAGGAGAGGACTCATCTCTGGAGGATGGGTGACCTTCCTCCCTGGCCAGAAGCTGAGAAGGGAAAGGGGCTGCAGCTGTGCCCAGCTCCGTCATCTCTGATGATGGCACGGCCAGGAGCCCACTCGGTCCAGTGTCCTGGTCCCAGGGCTCGGCGATGCTCTGCTTTCCTTGCACCAGCCCCAGGTGCGGGCAGGCTCCTTGCCCCATAGCCATGCCTCCAGCCCCAGCCTTGGGAGGCAAAAGCCCGCAAGGCACCCCAGAGTCCCTGTGACAACCCGTTCTGCTGCTTGCAGGTGACAAGACTATTCACTGAAAACCCGAATTACAGTACAAGCATGGGGTTGTTCAGCACAACGCCGGGGGGGGGGGGTATGCTAAACCATCGCCCGCCTCAGAGATCAGTCTGTAAATTCCCCAAATTCCCTTAAACTCAGGACAAGAATCAACACAATGAGGGTGCCCAAAACCTGAGTGTATTTGCAGCTTAATCTCAGCGGCTACAGCATGGTTTCTGGACCACCCTCCCTTATTCTTTTTATTATGTGATACTCCCAGAATATAGGCTGTGCATTTTATATGCGTGATGGCTTCATCGACGTGACTTTGGGACAGTCTCCAGCCAGAGCATGCTATTCAATGTACACAACCCGTCAAAACTCCTTATTTTCGCAGGGGAAAGGAGGCTTCTTGCCCTCCACAGGCACCCTGGGGATATCTCTGTATAGCGGGGGTTCGCCTTTGGACACCTGCAAGATGAGGCTCGGCTTTTCCCAAGGGTGCAAACCTCCGTAAATGAGCATTGCAAACCCTCCTGCTGCTGGATCCGCAGCCCGGAGCTGGCTGGGGACTGGGGATGCGGGGATGAAACGGGGCAGACGCAGCTGGGAAGAGGGGGAGCCTCCTAGCAGACATGGGTGCGGGGGGGGGCACTTAAACCTCTTAAAACCAGAGGGTAAAATCCTGGGGACAGCAGGGAGGAGGGGTCAGTGTAGGAGGAGGGTTGAGCGCCAGGCAAACACGGGGCACGTTGCTGTAGAGGAGGGGACAAAGCTGCTCTCGCCACCTTCCCAGAAGTGACAGCACCCAGCTCAGCTTGCAGCTCGCACTGGGACGGTCACCTGTCCTACAGCGTACGTGACAGGCATGGGGTTTTCGGGACGTTGCCTCCTGTCCCTGCACAGCAACCTGGCTGGCTTTGCCAGAGCAGGGCTCCTCATCTACCTGGCATGCCTTTGCGGTGAGTGGCTCTTGCATGGGGAAGGAGCATCCTAAGAGAAAGATGGGGTCGGAGATCTGCAGGAATGGGGGGGACTGGGCTTGCAGATGGATGGGGCAAAGCCTCCTTTGACCCACCAGACTTTAAAAGGAAGAGAAAGCGATGGATGGGGAAGGAGACCTCATTAGCGGGGTAATTATCCTGGCCTCTGCACTACTGCCTTTGCACAGAGCGGTTGGGAAATGCTTGGAGCCTTTCCAACCGGTGACAGTCAAAACCAGAAAGTGCTTATTTGTGTTGGCCACCTCTTCAGGGCCAGCCAGTTCGTTTACAAAGGGCACAAAGTCCTCTTCCCCCCAGCACAAACAGGAGCATTTATTCTGCTCTGCGATGTGCAAACACGAAGACTTTCCAGGAGGTGACAAATTGTGCTGCAAGTGGGATGCCAAGGAGCTTTTCTTATTTTTTTTCTGCCTCTGCCTGCCTTGTTTTGCATCCCATTCTCCAGCGGATGCTGCAGCCTCTACCCAGACCCCAACCTAGGCATTCCAGAGCGGCTCAGCCACGCCAGCGCTGCGAGACACAGCCTTAGGCAGGGGAGAGAACGGCCAGGAGCAGACACCCAGATTCCTCCTCCCCATCACCAACACGAGAGACAGGATGGTTTCCATGCCCTCGCTTCTGGCAAGCTGCAATCAGCTAGAGAACACTCTTTTATGGCCACAAACTGTGAGGTGCCAAAAGCTTGGAGCTCCAAAAGCTTGGAGCTTTGGTGGCTGGTCGAGGTGCAGGTGCTCAGGGCAATTGGAAGATCCACCGGTGTCAGAATTGTCCCAACAGACATGGGTGTGCTGAGCCCCCTTGGTTGTCACTTTCACCTGCAAAGAAGACGTAGTGCCCCATGAACACCAGGAAAAAAGCTTTCCTCCTTTTCTCCCAGCATCCTCAGGATCTCCAGCCACAGCTGGAAAGGCCACAGGTTGCTGGGACCATCAGATTCGTATTGGTTTCACAGCTGCAGCCACGGGCTGGGCAGCAGACACCTGGGTGGGTGCTTGTCCCCCTTGTCCCATCTCCTACAACATGCCATGCTGGCACTCTTCAGCACACAGGTCCATGAAAAGAAGGAACAGCAGGGATAATAGGAAGGGAACGATGCCTTTTGGGCGGCACGCAAAAAGTGCACTCGTGTGGGCACCAAGGAGAGAGGGGAAGCACTGGACTGGGTGCTAGATGCTCCTAGCAAGGTCCTGACCCACCACGCTATGGGGACCAGTAGCCCATGGGCTGTGCAAAGATGGGGT